GGTATGCAGGACAGTTGGCCTTGGCGGCTCCAATCACTATCTCCAGCATGCGCAGTAGATGGTGAGAACAAAACTCCCTTTTCACAATCCCCCCTGTACTTAAAACTTCCCTTCCCAAATACCAGGCCTCCCCCTCCCCGTTTCAATGGCAGCCGAAAGCAAGTAGCGAAACAGAGGCTGATACCCCACTTGGTTCAGCTTCTCAGTCATTTCAACCAAGATAACTTTTTCTGAATTTACTCCTCTGGTCAAACCTATCAGTGGTCTTCCCTCTGTGGTTGGTCCATCAGTACCTGAGTTAGACCTCCATTGCTGTCCACCTTCCTCCTGGCCCATCCTCAACATCAAAACTCAACTGCAGTTGATCTCAGATGCTTTTTCAGTGCTTCATTCAGCCATCTTCCCTGAGAGTTTGGTTGCTTCTTCATCCCTGGATCAGAGATGGGTTGCTACTGGTTCGCACCGGTTTGGGTGAACCAGTAGTGGAAATTGGGACTGGGTCGCCAAACCGGTAGGGGCAGCAGGCTGGCCATGCCCCCAAACCGGTTCCCCGGTCACTGCTGCCATTGCAGGCTTGGCTTTAAGTCAAGGCATGCACAGAACAATTTACACTTGCGCGTGAAGCGAACCGGCAACAATACGGGTAGCAACCCACCCCTGCCCTGGATCCCTGGGACACAAAATGTCTTCTTTCCCATGTAGAGGAAGAAGGCCCATGGACATTGTTTTGCTGTCATGGCAAAGATACTAAAGAACAATATCCTTTGTGAAGCCATTCTCCTGTTAGGAGTTGGGAAATTATTATTTTTTTAAAAGACAACCCAGATCTTTTAAAGAAGGTTTTTAATGTTGGACTATAACCATCCTGGTGATTCTATCCTGCAATTTTAATTTTTGACCATTTGATTTGACGGTGGCCATTTCACTGAAAATTATTGATTATAATCCACTCAGATTCAATTGATTGTGTCAGGCTAAAACCGAAAATATAAATATACAATATATAAAATATACAAAGCTTCCGACCTCCTAGAACTCTTCTCAATCATTATTATCTGTCCTCAAACTGCCCTTTCCAACTTTCCAGCCATTGAAATATGCTGGGTTATGATATCTGCACACCAGTGGTGGGATTCAGCCAGTTCGCACCTATTCGGGAGAACCGGTTGTTAACTTTCTAAGCAGCTCGGAGAACCGGTTGTTGGAAGAAATCTCCTNCATTCTGGACCAATTGAAACTTGGCAGAGGGCCTGGTTACCTCAGGGATATCCTATAACTGGGATGCCAAACCTATGGCACGAGTGCCACAGGTGGCATGTGGAGCCCTCTCTGCGGTCACGTGAGCTGTCACCCCAGCTCAGCTCCACTGTGCATGTGCGCGGGGCTCCTGTCGGCCAGATGATTTTCGGGTCTCTCACACATGACCAGTGGGTAGGTTGCATGCAGGCGATGCACATGCATATGCGAGGTTTGTGGGGGAATCACATGCACATGGAATGCAGGTAGGTGCTGTGCAATCCTGGTGCCCCATTTTTGGTTCCAGGAGGCTTCAGGGAGGCCTGCTAAGCCCAAAATGGAGCAGGAGGTCTGTGTGCATGCATGGGGGCGGAGCACAGGAGTCACACATGCATGTACAGGGAGGTGTCATACATGCATTGCATTATGGGTGTGGCCACGTGCATGTGCACTGTTGCACGCTTTTGAAACACAACAACAAAAAGGTTAGCCAACACTGTCCTTTAATATCTACCTGGTGGATTCAATGTGGCAGGGTTGGTCCCTTCAATTAAGCAATGCAATATCAGGACTCAGGAAGTGCAACTTCTCTGTAACATGGCCTGCCCTCTGGGATGAAGTTCCTCATGAGATACATATGGCTCCTATCCTACTGGCATTTTGAAGGTGCCTGAAGACCTGGCTCTTCACCTGGGTCTTTGGTGAGGATGACTGAAACTTTTGACCTAAGTTGCTTTTTTGTTTTTATTTCTACTCAATTTTTATTCTGCCATCTCTGCCTTTTTTGTTTTACTTTTATTGTCTTGTTTTTATTTTTTAAAACAATATTTTATTTTTAAAAATAATAATAAATTCAAATGTCCAAATTACTGAGATCTGGTGGAAGGTGAATGTGTAAATAATAAGTTTAGAATCTATTTAAAAGCAAAATATTGTTTAGATGATTTAATTTCTTATTCTAGAAATTAAACCGCATAAGAGGTTTTGCATTTCCTCCCTGAAATTCCCATGTCCTCAAATTAGGGCCAAAGCATTTTACTCTCTCCTGATTTTTGTTTGTTGGCAAGAGGTGGCCTCCAATTAGGTCCTCCTAACTTGTGCATGTCACAGCTACGTAAAACAGCCTCAGATTGTATGATAAAAGAACATTTCCCCAGCTCTACTTGGCATCATAACAATCAAGCACTTCACAGAAACAATCACTTTTCTTATGATACAAATTTTGCAAACTGGTGCAGAAACAACGTCCGAGATATGTCTGAGTTTAAAGATTTTGCTCATAAATTGCCAGTAACTATTTTAGATTTTTACTTTGCTACTTATGTTGTGATTAAACTGCAAACTGCCTCTTTGGGAAGCCAAAATTCAGGTTTTGGGACTGGTATATCTGGGCTGAAAAAATCCAGATGATCAAAGTTACAGTTCTTTATATTTCTTTGTTGCCATTTATTGCTTGTCTGGATTTGGGGGCCTGAATTTGTAATCCTATGGCAGCATCTATAACCACTAAGGGATTTCATAAAAAGAACCCTACACACCGTGGAAATGTGTAAATAAGTCCATATATGGAATTTGTTTCAGTAGATTTCGGTTTCTGATAGTGCAGCTTAACCACATTGAAAAAACAGAACCATCACTTATAAACAAATAAGGGCAGCTACAAGTCTTAACCTCTTGCTATTAATAAGCATGTTGTTTTGCTGTGATACATTTATTATAAAATACATAACATTTTTTTCTTAGTTGGAAATTCAACTATTTAAATATATTTAAATAAATCAATATTATTCAATAAAATCATTTGTAGTGATACTGATAGATCAAATAACTTCTTGTGTATTTAACATTGCAACACATCTCTCAATTTCTTTCATAATAAGCAGCACAAAACCCTAAGTGCAGCATAATTTATGCCAGCATAATTTTCTGTTAACCCCAACATCTGAGAAACACACTTGAATGTAGCTGTGAGAAAGAGTCTCATTTAGTTTGTTATGCATATATTTATTTTTAAAAATCAGAAAACAAGTATTTCTAGAAGAATCACAATAACACCAGCATTTAAACTGAAATAGCTTTTACACAATGTAATACATATTGATGCACATCTGAAAAAAGAGTATATTTTAGAATAAGCTTAGTTTACAATTAACAGAAAAAGAGGCATACTTTTAAAACTTTGCATTCTAAAGTAATCTATATAGATAACCATAATGAGTTAGGTCTAAATAAGCCTGACTGTTGAATAACTTGAATTATTCTATAATTCCGAAGATATGGATTTTAACAATTTCTATTATTTTAGATCGTATTAGTTTCAAGCACTGTTTCATCTAATTACCTATTAACATTCAGGAATATATAATTCTTACAGTATAAGTATATTCAACTTAATCTTCTCATTAACTATCCAATTAAAGATACATATTCTGTCTTCTATGTAACTCTAATAAATATTCAGTAGCTAACTTAGTCATAATTCCTTCCTAATTCTTTATTTGAATTTCCTCACATTTCAACCTTCCCCTTTTTATGAATACTTCAAATTGGTGATTCTATGCAGGATGATAACAACTTCCTTCTCCTCCCAATTTTCAGGGAGAAATGCTCTGAAAATCTAAGTGTCAAAGCTTGAAAAACTGTTTCCAGGTTTACTGTACTTCCTGCATGGAAGAATACTTTGTATCATGACCCTACGGATGCAATCATCAAAGAAGAAGTAGATGAAAGGGTTTGTGCAGCTGTTGGCGAATGCGAATAGACCACCCAGTTCCATGCCCAGATAGACAATTTTATAGTAAAGGCAGAAAGATGGCTTCAGTTCCAAGAAGTCATATATCAAAGCCAAGATTTTAAAAATGTTGAAAGGAGTCCAAGAGAAAAGAAAAACAATTGCTATCACGAAGACAATTTTGATGGATTTTCTCAGTTTTTTGTCATGTTTCCCAAATTTCTGATAGTGCACATATAGTTTTTTAATTATGGAATAATGCAATGTTAATATGCTGAACAGTGGTATAAAGAAAGCCAAAGTTAGCAACATCAATGATCCAATCCAATTGTTGGTTATGGTTTCCTTGTTCATACAATAAGTATTGTTGTTGTAGCTTCTCAACTCTCTGGATTGTAGAGTATGCAGCCCTAACAGGCAGGATAGTATCCAAACACTGATGCAAATGAGAATAGGATAAAGCCTTGTTCTAATTTTTTTAGCCATTGATGGGTACATGATGGTCAAGTACCGGTCACCACTCATCCACGTCAGAAGAAAGATGCTGCAGTACATGTTGACTGAGATAATGTAGGAACTGCCTTTGCACAGAATAGAGCCAGATCTCCAAATTCCTGAGGCTAGTTCCTTGTCTATCCAGAAAGGCAATGTGATAAGAAAACTAAAATCAGAAATTGCCAAGTTGACAATGAAGGTATCAGTAAGCCTCCATACATATTGTTTGAAGATTAATGTTCCTATCAGAAGGCCATTGCCCAAAGTCCCTACAAGAAAAATAACAATATAAAGAACACTCACAAAAATGTCCATATAAGGCAGCTTCAGAATTTGGCAATTTTCTTCAGGAGCATCTGAACTAAGAGAATAGAAGTAATCATAACTGGGAGTTGTTTCCTCCATTTCAAAAATGATTCAGCAGCTGGTTGGTGAAGGAGCAGCTAAACTTTTATTTCTGATGCAATAAACAGCTCTTTCCTTCAATGTCTTCCAGATAATAATAACTAAACAGCCACTTAAGTGAGGAACAGAATGTGAAAACTGGTGGTTTCCTGAACCTAGATAAATGTATGGTGTTTTTTTTTATTTAAATAAGTGTTGTGGTTTTTACTTGTTTAATAGAAGCAAACAACAGGTGAACTTCTCAGAGGGCCTTTTTTTAAAAAAGTAATGTTCCCCTCCCCAATTTTTTTTCCACTACCATAGCCTTTATTGACCAACATATTCCCATTTTTGACAAAAACAAACAGCAATATATCTTTACATTTCACTCTGTTGTTAATGTTAATTTCAATTCTACAGTGAATTACCATAGGACATTTACCACACAATGTTAGTCCAGTAGCACTTTTTTTTACACCTTCTGACTTGATTTACACAAATTTGTTATTTTTGCAATTATTTTTTCAAAGTGCATGTATAATGTAATTTGGTGTTTATATGTATGTATGTATGTATGTATGTATGTATGTATGTATGTATGTATACATACATGTATGTATGTATGTATGTATGTATGTATGTATGTATTACTGTTGTTTACTTTGTTTTCAAAGTCTCTCCAGGGCTGGTTTAAGTGAGTCACAGCAAAAAAAAGTAAAATAGGTCCTAAAAATATTTCCCCCTCCCTCAATCAGAGAGATGGTTGAAACAAGCCAGAGGCAAATGAATAAAAGCAGCTATGATGACTATTTTTCATCTTACTGTTCCCAGGAAAGTACTTCATATTTCAGATTGACAGAATTTTGGGATCAATGTAAACTGATGCAACTCTGTGGTAGCCTTTGGATAGATAAGAGTCAATGAGGTTTTTAAGTGAGGGATTTATCTATCTACTAATACAGCTCTGTGTTAGCCAGTTAACCAATTAGCCAAGTGGTGGATAGAACAACAGGACCATTCTTCTAAATTTCTGTTCCTTTCCCTTAGGAATTATAATCTATGGGGCACAAGGAGTCAAGCTTTTCTGTTGCAGCCTCCATTCTTTAGAACAGTTTACCATCCCCCCACCCTCTTGTGTTTTAGGAAAGCCATTAAGCCTGGAATTTAAAGAAATGCCTAAAAAAAATTAGTGTAAGCAATAACCCCACCCTGGGGTGTGTTTTACTGTTTTTGTTCTTGATGACCTTAGTTTCTTTCTTACAAACCCATTTCTTTGTTATTTTATTATCTTTCTATATGTTTTATTAAAGTAACTACAACTGATTTCTTTCAAGTAAGGGTGTCTAGGATTGCTGGCTTTTAAGAATTGCATTTAGTAATTAAGTGCTAAGAATTAAAAAAAACTTGTTTTATGGAAATTCTCATCCCCACTACTATTCTTTCTATAGCAGAATTATTCTTAATAACAAGAGACAGATATTTGCATAGGAATTCTATCAGTGTAATTTTCAGTAGAAAATTCTGCTATTCATACAGTAAAAACAATACTGACATATAGTAGCAAATGCAGAGAAATTCGATAGAAGAGAATATGTATCGTATAGGTAACTCAGGATTGGCGTCCTTGGTGTTCTCTGAACTTGATTGTTTGCTTCTGTTGTCTAACAAAACAAAACAATACAAAAACAAGTTTTTATTAATGAACATTTAGATATAAGATTAAAAGAGAGCTTTAAAAGCACCATAGTGAACACTCAGGGCTGATTACAATAAAAGCATCATGGGGATATAGCAAGAAAAAGATGTTGCCAGGATTTATGCCAGTTAGATGCAATTAAAATTTTTCCTCTTAATCTGAAATTATCCTAGGACAGCCTGGCATGTGTAAAATCAAAGTTCTATTACACATTATTAGGAAGAAAGGTTATGTGAAGGCAGTGTGTGGGAAAAGACAGATAAAAGATTAGTAGTAGGAATCACTAATTTCCTGCCAGCGCAAGTAATCCTTGTTAGGGACGTAATTTTGTGTCATGATCATGATGCTGAAACAAGAAGTTACATTATCTGCATCAGGTATTAGGATGCAAGTATCTAATGGCAAAATTAATGTCCCTTTGCTGATATCTTTTTGTTTATCTGATCTTAAGCTTGTTGAGCCAAACTTGCCAGTATTGTTTTTTCCCCACTTAAGGATAGTGCTTTAGCAAATCAATTAATAAGGGAGCCGCTCTGTGAATGAATATATATGCAGGCTCTGTCAGTTCCAAATGGATATGTGGACAATAACTGAAAGGCATTCAGTGCCCGAAAAACTTCTACAACGTTTGTAAATCTAAGGGGTTTGCAGATAATTTTACACTTAACCATGTCCTCCTTTCCTCAGGAGAACTTTGCCTGCTTTCCGCAACTCCCTTTCCGTTTGAATCTAACAATTTTCGCAGCGAATCTCTGATGGCCGGAATGCACGCATTCATAAGTTAACAAAACCAATTGTTTGTCCTGAAGCGAACGTAAGTGGGTCACTTTGCCTTCAGAACGTGGCAGCCAACAAAATTCGAACTACACTTCCCAGAGATCTTGGCGGCTCAGGGGCGGATAAAGCGTCTGCGAAGAGGCGCTTCCCGCTCTCCCGGCTGAGCTGCTCTTGGGGTGGGGGGTGGAAGCGACGCCGTGGAGTCGGGAGAAGGATGGGAGGTAAGTGGAATTGGGCCCTACCGAGCCCCTGATTGTTTCCCCGGTATTCCAAGGAAAGAATTTGTGAATGAAGTAGTTAGGAGACAGTGTAGAAGAGCATGATTGGGTCCATTGCAGGGGATGTGGTTGCCTTAAAATGGGACCCTGGAAGAGCTGCAATCTTATATTGTATTAAGGATCACTATTATCGCTAGATAGGACCCCATATTGCTTAGAGAGTTGTCACATATCTCTATGGAATCCGGGTAAATCTTGTGGGTTTCTCTCTAGTCATCTCAACCTGGCAATTGGTTTATTTATTTCAACCCTTAAAAGATTCCCTTGAATAGATGTTTTTAAATTTCCTATGCAGTTAATAGTTTCAAAATGCCATCCGGCACATATTTGCTGAGAACTTTCACCTCATCGCCTTCAGAAGTGTAAGGAGTGGGATTGCATTGTGGGAAAGCACAACACTGAGCACAACAATGGGTTTAGAAATGGGTGCATTTTGATTGCCATTCTCTTCTGTACTCATCCCAAGTGGGGGGGAGGCTTGAAAAATACCATAGAAATGGGCGTGAGAATTTTTTTTTTTTAATTCAAATACGGGTGGTGAATTTCCACAAATAGCATGATTAATGAAAACAAACAAAAAGAAGTGATGGACTTTGTGTTCTTCCCTTTAAAAGTCCCGCCCCTAAGTTGATATGATCAGAGTTGTCCATACAGGTCAAATGTCATTCAATAACATATGGTCCCTCCTAATCAAATTCTTCTGTAGGTGAAACTAATCCCTTGATTCTTTTTGAGCCTTTCACATAACAAGAAGAAATTATTGATTTTTTTTTTTGGGGGGGGGAAGTATTCTAAATTGTTCCTTATATTCTTAAATTATGTATTTACTAATTGTATTTCCACTAAGAAATACAATTTCCACTAAGAGTGTTCATGTCTACATACACGCCCTTAATGTGGCAAGGAATGGATATAAATATAAATGCAGGTTTGATTTGATTGTGATGAAAGATTGAGGAAAGATATAAAGAGAGACTAACAATGAAGATGAATGGGCATGAAAGAAAAAGAAGGAAACGAAACAAACAAAAATAAAGGTAGCATGGTTGCAGGACAAGAAATGATGTGTCCTATATAAAACAATAGATTAATCTTCCAACTGAGTAAATGGAAAGTGGATATAAAGGAAGATAATGTAGATCTCCTTGGAGCACAGTGAAAATAATATTAAATGCCAGAAGCATGTGTTAATTTATGCCAAATAAAGTATAAAAGAAAGATGAAGAGAAACACTATGGATGAAAGAAATGCTGAGGAGAATAAATGCTGCAGAAATGAGAAAAGAAAAATACATAGAACAAAATGATTGTTGCAGAAATTATAAAAGAATAATACTATATAATGTATAGATAGGGAAATATATCAGAAAGGAATTTAGTTAAGATTTAAGAGGGAAAGAAAATGCAGATTGAGAGCAGGGAGTGAGTTAAAAAGGCTAAAGTGAATGCAATTAAAAATAAAAGATGAAATGGTTTGGGATAAAAAAATAGGAAGGAGTATTATGTATGTTTTCTGCCTGGAAGTATTTATAAAGTAATAAAGGCAGGATAAAAANAAATGTCATTCAATAACATATGGTCCCTCCTAATCAAATTCTTCTGTAGGTGAAACTAATCCCTTGATTCTTTTTGAGCCTTTCACATAACAAGAAGAAATTATTGATTTTTTTTTTTGGGGGGGGGAAGTATTCTAAATTGTTCCTTATATTCTTAAATTATGTATTTACTAATTGTATTTCCACTAAGAAATACAATTTCCACTAAGAGTGTTCATGTCTACATACACGCCCTTAATGTGGCAAGGAATGGATATAAATATAAATGCAGGTTTGATTTGATTGTGATGAAAGATTGAGGAAAGATATAAAGAGAGACTAACAATGAAGATGAATGGGCATGAAAGAAAAAGAAGGAAACGAAACAAACAAAAATAAAGGTAGCATGGTTGCAGGACAAGAAATGATGTGTCCTATATAAAACAATAGATTAATCTTCCAACTGAGTAAATGGAAAGTGGATATAAAGGAAGATAATGTAGATCTCCTTGGAGCACAGTGAAAATAATATTAAATGCCAGAAGCATGTGTTAATTTATGCCAAATAAAGTATAAAAGAAAGATGAAGAGAAACACTATGGATGAAAGAAATGCTGAGGAGAATAAATGCTGCAGAAATGAGAAAAGAAAAATACATAGAACAAAATGATTGTTGCAGAAATTATAAAAGAATAATACTATATAATGTATAGATAGGGAAATATATCAGAAAGGA